TTCTTCCTCTCATTTTTGTAAACAACACCCCCGCCACGAGAATGCAGTGAGTGGGACTTCCCTGGCAGACGCCTTTATGCGCGCGGCCGTGTGAGAGTATTTCGAGAGGGAGGGCGAACCCACCCCGCTCTCGGCCATACCAGGGCATTTGGTGGCGTATGTAACCGAACAGAGTTTTCGTCCACTAACTTTCATAGGTGTTTATTACATCGCTTGTACATCCAGAGAACATACTTTAAAGATATCACTCACATCATTTGTGCCATTCATATTATATTCATATAGATGGGATCATCAGCATCGCAGTCTAGAATTAGAGCACTTTGGATCGAATTAGTCATAAAGGTCAGAAACAATGAATTTGTAAATTTCTGTGGCTATAATGTTCGATAACGGTTAGTCTGTTGCTTCATGATTATTTATAGAGGATATTCATAGGTTACTAGTGTTCAATCGCAGTTGTCTGTGAAGCATATGTCGTATATTTTGGGCTGACTGAGTAAGTAATGCTTAGGTTAGGAATATGGTACTAGGCAAAAACGGCAAATCGATTGATAATATAGTAAATCTTCATCAGCTGAGGTGGTTGTGACATGTGTTACATATGGCCAACCACTGACTCTTGACGGGCGATGTTGTCTGGTATAGGAGTAGGCTGGAAGTAAGCTAGGGGTGGTCAAACCAAAACATGGCACCAGTCCATGAAGTCATCAACAATAGGACTGAAGTATGCTAATGGGTGAAGACTATCTGGTTGGGGTCTGTATGAATATCGTTACCGATGGTTAGAGACTTTGAATGTCATGGCTGAAAACCACTTGCAAAGGCTTAGCTATATCCACTATTTGTCTTTCTCTATATTCTGAGCTCTTGAATTCCTCATAACTTTTCTTGTGCCTTCATTCGACTAATTTATATTCTCTCGAATAGTATCTTCGATGCCTAATCTTTCATATTATCACTGATATTGTTACTACTTCTACTGTTCTGGGATTCTGCCCGAGAATTTCATCTTGGTATACTAATGCGGTATGGCAATTTGAACCGAGGTACAGAAGTACCAGGTCCTACGTTGAGACTGACTGACTGACTGAACAGTTGTAAAATTTTCGAAACATTTTCTCTATTACGTGTTGATCATGGTGGTGGATTGTTGCTGATGACGAGGTTTAGCTAAAACATAACAAAAGTTCATTACTATTCATGAATAGAATTGAATATAAGTTTTTAAATACAAAGGCTTATAAATTCTATGGTTTACTTAAGTTATCAGTGTGGTTCAAGCAGTTCGTGACAAACATATTAAACTAATACATCATGTTCGTAGTATTTGACCCATAAACCCATACCATTTAAAGATTGAGTGATCATTACATATTTTATATCTTACATATCAATAAAAGTTGATAATTATAAGAGAAGAGATATTTAAACAATGTGGGTTGAATCGATTTCCATATGATGCATCAGTTTTTGCCACTGAAGAGCCTATTATTAGTCTGACATATTAGTCAAAAAATATGAAGTTGAATTGTTTGTTAACTTATTAATACGTCATTAAATAGTCATGTTTCTACTGACATAATGTTATATGACTAATTTTCTTTATCCATTGCTTCACTATGATAGTGGAATCAAGAAGACTCAGCTAACTGTGCAACATTTGGATGTAAAAATTGTCCTGTTCGTTAGTTTTATCATGAGAGCTCGAAAAAAGTTATGGGCGTTCATTTCGTTCCCTCTAAAGATTTGTCAAACGAATTCACTTGTACATGGTGTATTCATTGGGATCCAAACCCTGTACAAACAAATTACTATACAACGGATAGTTCCCCAAAGGATGTGATTCTTGTAAAGGTCGTTTTACGACGATTTACATCACTAATTGACTTAAACCAGTCAATCACCGAAAGTAAGAGTGTTGTGGATACAAAATAATATGCCAATCATTGTCATGTTAAGTCTATGGTGGCCTTGGACTTTAAATGTACATTCCCTATTGGCTATTATTTAATTCATTCGTTATATATTGTGTAAATGTTGTTTACTATTTTTATGGTACGATGTGGTTTGCTTGTTTGGTATATAAATAGAACATGTCTGAAATACAATGATTCATATCTCCGAGGCTGTGACTTGTGTTCTGGACTCAACTGACTGGGCTAGACAGGGAAGCGAGACCAATAGAGACTCTAGGCCGTCCGTACGTGTTTATGTGTCATTGAATCGATCGATAAATACGCTGCTCTCTAATTTTTCCAGTCAAGGACACAACAATTAGCACAGGGTAAAAATCGACCACAACTTAAATTCTTAAGAAAGAGAATAACAGAGGTTTGTTTTATTTTAGCATCTGACTTGTGAACTCATGATCTCCACAAGGATCAGACTTATAACTTTCAGCTCTCGAGGCAAGTAATCTACCTCTAGACCTCTGATTCAACACTCAGTGGTCCTCGAGACTTGAAATTCCTCGGTTCAATTCCCTATTGGATCTAGAACACCACACTAGAAGGAAATAAATGTCCAGTAATTTCTGGTACTCTATAGTTTTCTTCCACCAAAACTAGTTCGTAATATAAACTACTTTTAGTGATCGTCAGTATAGGGTTGTGGAGATTATTGAATTTCATTGAAATCACGAACCGAGAAATGTTGGACAACCACTAAAAGCCTGGAAGGACTGGATGGACATTTCGTTTTAGTATGGGACTCCTCGGCAGTACGTATCCACGACCTTACATCCGGAAATAAGGCACAGGACCATCACTCACGCACTAACACTTGACTACTAGACCAGTGAGCCAAGATTCAATGGTGCACAAATCTAACTTGAATTAGTCTAGTATTTCGATTATTTTGTACGCACTGATTGATCTGATCAGTGAATTTTCCGATTGCTGCCGTTGAAATGTAAATAGTGTTAAAATTGACCAAAGCTCTACAAATAAATCTCTATTACTTTCATTTTCACAAAACAAGATGATTTGAAATGAATATGAATAAACCAAAAAATACTAGTCGTTCAGCAATATAGTAATAATAAACATAGAATATGTGTGAAAATACGTATATGCAGATCCTTTTTGTAAACGATGAGCTTTACATAATTGATTCTTTACAGTTCCTTTGTGTTTAAAGCCAGATGGATTCTAATACAAATACTCTTATCTCTACTTCGATCACTGATCCTATGAAGTTTTTACATTGTATGTAAATTTGCTTTGTCAGATGTTCTTAATTTTATTATAGTGTCGAGAATCTGGTTTATTATCTTGTTAATATACAGTATCCATAAACTATTTAGCAATGTAGCTGAACTTGGGTAAAGTTCGACTCACATCTCAAAGTGCCCAAGGGATAGTGTAACTTATTTCACAAATTAATGTGAGCGACTAGGCAGAGATCGGTCAATTCCCCCACTCCATCGTGAATATGGACTACCTGAAAGGAGATTGAGGTATGGACCAGTTTGAAATGCAGGACTGGAGAAAAAAATCGATTCTTTTTATTGCGTAATTAAGTTTTTTCCGGAAGGGTCGACAAAGACCATAAACTATACCATGAACAGTGTACACAGGTTGACATTAAACGTACTTGGATGAAGGAGGTAACCATCAACTTACAACCCGACCTTTAGGTAACAAAACCAAGTCGCAAATATACCTAAGTGTATACTGTGGATGTAGAGACCTTGGTCTAGACATTCGCTATATGTATGTAACATATACCTGGGATTGCGCACATCTATTCCTGTGTGTACTGTGGAGTGTACATGTCTCCGACTTGTGTATTATATATTCACATGTAGTATTCGATTGCGACGTTATCCATGCTCTATACTGGTGTATCCATGATAGCTCTCAGCACTTTTAGGTTGTTACAAAGTTTCTGAATAGGAAATGTAACTATACAGAAGTGGACAGCTAACGTGTCCGTTTGCTTCACACAAAATATAACTGAATCAAAGTCTCTAGTTACACACAAACTGTACCAAAGTAAACTGCTAACTTTTTCGTTTGTTTTACTTTCTCCAGCACTTTAGTCTCACACATCTTTACAAAAGCTTTTTCTTTTCCTAAAGTGCAGGTCGGCTTTTCTACTTAGTTGGCGTAGTTAAACAAACCAAAACTGTCCATAAACTATTTAACAGTGCAGTTGAACTGGAAGAAGGCCTACAGCTAATCTAACAAAATGCTAATTATATTGTGTTGTTCAACGTAAATGGAATATAGTAGTAAAGAACCTTTTTTTAAATAATTTCCGAATTTAGTGCTACAAAACAGCAGTCCATTATACCTTTTATAAACGATAACTGTTATCTAAAGAACACTACGTGGAAATTGCTTAATTTTTTTGGTTTACTTTTAATTCTCAGATAGATTGGCCTTTTCATATTATGTACCGTGTGAGAGAGAAAGAGCATTTAGTGTGTCCTGTTTCGTTTTCATCTTTGGATTTACCTGTATTAACTGATATAAGGACATATCAATATTCATTTTCACTTTATTCTTTTGCTTCGAAATAGCACTTTGACGACCCCAGTAGGAATCGATCCCAGGGAGAACAATGTACCACATAGTTGAAAACCTACCGTTCATATTTGCAATTTTAGCTAATTCACAGTATAACTTAACCAATGTTATGATTGAGACTTCTCTGCCCTACTAGATCTTCGGGAGTTTTATTTTTAAATTTAGTTACTAATATATACGTACATAATCATAATTATTAATAAGATTAGGATTTCTGTAGTATCTTCAATTAAAGGTTTGTTTTCAACATAATCACTTTTAATTTATAGCAAATCTTACAAAGGTACGATTATAACATAATCTCATTCATTATCCAGTTTATGGATTTAAAACAAAAAGGAAAGGTAAAAAACGTTTACTTTATTTAAAATAGGGTGTATATATATGTCTACATATTATATATAGGCGAAATAATTAAACTGTGTTAATCAAATAAATTTATGAGATAATATATAAATATACTAATTACAAGTGTGTTCGCATTTGATTTCGACTAATATTTACACTATCCGAGGATACAATAAAGAATTCATCAAATGACTGCAATTCATCTTTTGGTATATAATCTGGATTGTGAGGATCATAACCGTTTTGTTTATCTTTATGAAAGAAATCAATATTTCGCCAAACTGCTATAGCGTTCACAGTTATTAAAATGAGAAATACAATGAGCCACTAAAAGTGATAGTAAAAATAAAAATAAAACAATCAAAACAGTTCATGCTATTAAGTTGTTTAAAGTATATCAGTAATTTCTATAGATATCTGTATATTTCAAAGTTAGTTTCTATCATTAACTGCTATTAAAAGAGAAATTTTTCAACAGTAGAGAGTAGTTGAAACATCACTGGAAAAACAGAATACTAGGTAGCTGTTTAAGCCTTAGAATTTTTAGCTTGTGTAGGAGTAAGTTGAAAGAAAACTAGGGATGAATACAGCGAAATTTGGAATCAGTTCGTGAAATCATTACCAGTTGTTATGAGCCTTGTTAGTAGATACAGACGGCCTATTTGGGGCCCTATATGATGATACCTATCAGTAGTTAGAGATGCTGGATGTTTTCGCTAAGAATCAGTCACGTTGGCCCAGATGCATTTATTTGTCCTGCTCTAAATCTTGGATTTCAGTATCCCGTCATATATATATATATACATATATATATATAATATATATAATATAAATAATATATAATATATATATATATATATATTCCTTATCTTATCGAACCATATTTTAAATCTTTCATATTATTGTTGCCGCTACGTTATTTCGATTTCTTTGTTATTTATCTTAATAATTTCATCTCGTCGTACTAATGTAGCATGACAACTTAGGCAAGCACATATTTGCCAAAGTCTACGTTGATTATGATTGAGTAATCCTAGCAATGTGCACATATGATTTCATGCACTAGTAAACCTAACACCTTCAAGTTTTCCAACTTTTATGAGTTAGAGTTGAGTGGATCACATGTCGAAATTCAATCAGTTTGTGGCAAAGCTCACTATCAGTGATCCAACATTTTCCTTCCGAATTACCAATGGAAAGTGTGTTGCACAAGTTATTTGGGTATTTTAAAGCATTCTCAGGTTTACAACAGTTCTCACTGTTATGCTAAGTTCATGATGAAAGTTAATAATAAACACTGTCATCACTTTTAATAAAAATTTCGTTTTTAAAGAAAATTCTAAACAGAATTTCGAAACAGTGTTTGTTTTACCTCAAGTAATGTAGTAGTCATTGAATCCAAAGTAAGTTGATACCATTTAGGATTAGATTTTATCAAATCATATGCCCACCAAATTATCAATCCGGTTCCGGATAAAGGTACCAAAACACTGTTGATTAGAAACAAATTAAAGGCTTCGTTATGAAAAGTTAGATTTTCAAAATAACAACTAACTTAAGGAGTATGATTGCATGATAATTCGAAATCCAGATGTGTTCTTATGTTCTAGTGTACATTTAAGTGAAGTGGTATAGTTGATTTGCAAAACAATTTATGAAGTCCCTTTATCATATTATTGTAATAAATCTAAAGTTACCGATAAATCTTTTCAGTCCCTACTGTATAGCAAAATTTTTATGAAAGCTTAATATTGTGATTTAAAAATAGGAATAGCATGTTCAGTGAGAAATGTAGTTAAGATCGGGTTATAACACTTAGTAGTAGTTTATTATCTTGTTCTCATGTTAGCACCAGAAAATACATTTTCATTTCATAGTCTTGATTTGACTTATACTATTTTGACTATGATTATCGTCAAAAACTGACATCAGCCAAGAAACCAAATATTCGGTCCTATTTGAAGACACCTTATCAATCTGCGTCTACGATCCCAAAACGCATATTTAGTTGCAAGGATCTTAATTACTGTAATGAGCACGATATCTTCAAATAATTGAGTTGAGATTCATTCAGTTGATTCTTAGTGTAACAAAATACCATGGTCTATATACTTATTGGTTCCAAGATATAGCCCTTCTATGAATGACTTCATGGACTAATGATATTTATTCGCATAAGCATTCTCGCTCTTTTATTCTATTTCAATGTTAACCACTGCTGCTCCTCCATGTACTCAGTGACTAAATATACATAAAATTGAAATATACATTTATCAACTGTACTTTCGTTTGTTATAGTTTTATCACCAGTTGAAATAAGCATTAGTTTATAGAGTATCTCCTTTATCATATGATATGTAGCTTGTTAATCTTGTTCTCAAAATGCAAATCTCTTTCTAAGCAGGTTTTTTGTTTTCAGTAAACATAGCAACAAACTGTTCTTTTTATCTCCTTTTGTTATAAAGCTAACTATATCTGATTGTGTCCTATGATACAAGTTAAGAAGGAAATTAGGATCAAAACACTAATTAAACATTTTCTTAGTTAAATTTAATATTTAAACATGTTTCTTTTTGATTTATTACAGTATGGGATTATGACGCATTATCAAATGTGAAATAATGAAAAGTATTTCGTAATTTTAAGAATTTTGATAGAAAAAAATTATTCCTAAAATGTAATTTCTATCCGATTTCTCATAGTGATTGATTGTTTTAAATTTTATCACGCATATAGCTTGACGATAGATAGAAATCGATTTTATAAATATTTCACTGCGTTTTTCTTTTCAAAAAACTTTATAATAATATATTTTGTGATATTCATAATTTTATAGTTGAATTCATGAGTCAATTGAAACTAGACCACCATGGAAAACCTGGAAGCATTGAACGGCCGTTTCGTGGAGTTCAACTGGCTGTGTTGCGTGATAGTAACTCACTGAAGACAATGGTGGACGTTGGCTCAATTTCGTGAATTTGTTGAAGTTAGACATTAACACCATTGGATGCCTGCTCAGTGGTCTAGAGGTTAAGCGTTCGCGCGCGAGACTGATAGCTCCTGGGTTTGAATCTTACGGTGTGGGATAGTGGATGCACACTGCTGAGGAGTCCCACACTAGGACGAAACGGCCTTCCAGTGCTACCAGGTTTTCTATGATGGTCTAGCTTAATTGACTCATGAATCCAACTATAAAATTAAAATCCTTTCAAAATCCCCTTCTGATAATATTTGTCATTGCTTAAATAAGAAATTTTAAATAAATGAAAGAAACAAAACAGTCCCAGAGTTTAAATCATTCAGTTAAAAACATAAATAATCTAATTGATATTTCTCTGTTGAATTTCTCCCCTAAAAGTTCCATTTGTCTAAATGAATTAATCTTAGAGTTTTTCAAATTATTTGTGACATTATATACATTAAGTTTAAGCTTACATCATTTCTCTGATAATAATTGTGCTACTTTCGATATTATTTGTATTTAATTCAATTTGGGAATTTTGTTTACTAGTTTTTTGTTGTTGTTACTTGTGATTGATAATAATGACAAACCTAAAATCTCATATTGAGAAACAATTCTTCTTCATTACAGATTGATGTTGATTTCAGAAAACTATACAATATTAGACAATTGTTTTGATCTAATTCTGATCTCAGCATTGTACGCTGAAAACCCTATATGAAAAGGAGCCAAATACTTATGCTGATTCAGATACGTTTAAAGCATTGAACGGTAATATAATGGTCTATAGTTAAACTTGAATTTAACTCACAGCATAGTGAATAACACTTACCATTAAAATGATAACTGCTGTTGTTTTGTTCATTAACGGCCTACACAATATATCACCCATACATCCTCAATTTTATATGGAAATGAATCTCGGGTGTCCAGTTCTGAAATTTTAACCAGGACAAAACAGGTTCTCAACATTTCCTAACTTACTATAATTCTGAAGCTACTTAATAGTTAAAGATCACTTATCAATCAGTTAAATACCCATAAACGTTATTCAGATAATTGTATACTTATGAAATGGCTCACGTGGTCACTTATATTTCTGTGAAATAATAACCACATTCATGACAGGAAAAGTTTGTATTTACTAGCTTTTAAATACATAAGCTTTTTGATATTATTAAACGTTTAATCAAAGGATTATTATGACGTTTAACAAACCTTATCATGAAGACCCAAACAACTGGAAGTTTCCAATCATCGATTCCAAAATCATTAACAATGACCTTTCTGTATTTCATTGGACCATAAATTATTATTAAACCAGCCATAGATAAACCGGATAACATAAGTGCGAAACCCCAGACATTGTCCTACAAAATATCATTAATATTTAAAGACATGTGCATGATATTATTGCTAACAGTATTAGAAAGTTAATCATAGTCGACTATTATAAAAGTGCTTCTGAAGCGAAATTTACATTATTATTTACCACTCGATATCTACGTCACTGCAACAGAGTTAGGAACAAGTTGGATGTAATTTTTAATAATGTTATACATTAGTAACATATTTTAGTTTGTTTTGTAATCTTCTCAACCACAGTTCTAACATACCACTGGGGTAGACTGTAGTTTGTGTTATTAACAAATGTTCACTCATATTAGCCAAAAAAATTTGTGACCTATTTGAAGACTTGTATGTCTGTTAAGCACACCACATCTAACAGTAGTGTTGCTCACTTTGTTGTCTCACAAGTTAGACAGGACGTAATTCAAAGATGTTTTTACTACTTAATATTTTTTAAAAATTTATTGCGATTTGAAATTAAACCTAATCCTCTCCAAATTTCTCCACGACGATCATCTTCCAGTCTTGCCATTGTTAAGAACGCTATTATTTTCATACCACTTTCAAAGTTATTGAAAACGTATTTATATATAAAATGTATTAGCCTATTTTTCTTATTTCATGTATTCAATAAATCGTCTATTCAGTAAATGAGAATTATACTAGCTGTTGGCTCAGGAAGAGAATAGGGATTTATCATTGCTTACTGATTAAAACGTTTAGGTTTACAATATTTCAAACATTATGGGGAAGTATCAAATAACTGCTTGATACATCTGATGTAATTTAATAAAAAGGGAATGAGTTGTTTTGTCAACAATGAGATCTAACGATACGACAGTGGCAGTCAGTCAGAAATTAGTATTTTGTATTTTGCAACCCGAACGTTTTTGAGATAAATATTCAAGTACCAGATTTTGTCGACATCGTTACTTAGTACATCATACTCTTTAACTACTAATTTAGCTGGATTTGTTGGTGGAAGACCAACACTTTGGAAGGAAACAAAATTTACTTTCAAAGGCACTGATTTAAACAAAAGAATAAAAACTGTTCATGGTTTTTGTGCCAATGTAAGTTATCAGAGTGAAGTGGAAGACATTTTTATAATTCATTATCTGATGATCGCCGGAAGACTTGGCTGACATGCCCACAACCTAACTTGAAATGTACTTTATCTAAACTTGTTGTTCTGGAACTCAATTTGGAGACTGTAAGCTAAATTAAATCTTAATTGGTTAGCATATACCGCATTGGACTCTTGAAGTGTTCTGCCTGAGTCATATTTGATTTTTATATAAGTCAATTGACACATAACTCTTAGCTATGAGCTTGAAGCACCTCTTGTGTAGAAGGAGAAGAAAGATGATTTCATTTAAAATCTGCAGATCAGCCCCATTTATTACCTGTTAACATCATTCAGTCCCTGAAAACTCTAGGATAGTATTCATAATCTAGCAAATCCTTATGTATAAAAGTTTAGCTCAGGAGAAATCTTACTGATACTAGGTACATACCGTATTTGTTGAAAATACTAGGTATTTACAGAAATGGATGCGTATCTTAAATAGCTCACTACTGAAAGCTGTCCGAAAAACACACATAATATACGAAAATTTATTTGAGTGATAAGCATATTACCGTAATTACAAGAACAAACACAAAATCATGAGAGGAAAATCTTTTTGAAAAAGCTAAAACAAACTAACCTGATTTGTAAGAACATTTATACTAATTGCAGAAGGCATACCAAATACAAGAGTGAGGAATAAACCAGCAAATGCAGCTTGTCTATGACTTACTATAATAAAAATAAAAAGTTATAGTACGAATGTTTTCTCTAAATCTGTAGACATTAATCAAAGAACAGTTAGAGACAATTCGTAAGTAAATTATGGTATATAACGTTTATAAATTTAACTGATTATGAGAAATTTTTTTAAATAGACCATTTAGCTCTCAAGTAAACAAATAGCTTTCTTTGCCAAACAGTTGATAAATGAAGGAAATGGACTTTACTAATTTCATGATTTGAATGATTGATAGAGAGAGAGAATATAAGACCGATTTATTAAGTAGATTTTATTTATAAGAAACAATTATTTATTCTCTATCTTTAGACGGTTTTTACGGAAATAACTAATCACTAGATTAATGGAAATTTCATTTTCTCTGAAATTTATTTTCACCAATGGGGGAGTCATTGAGAAATTAGAAAACACTAGAAAGGGGTGTCATAATAGTATGAAACTTTTCAGCAATGCACCATCCTAGACTCGATATAGTGTATGTACACAGTATTGACAGTTTCGAAAGCATGTCAAAATAATTATCCAGTAATCCAGTTATATAGGAATCATCAGCTTGTAACGAATTTTGGCAAAAATCAGTTTCAGTCTAGAAGAGAAACTCGGAAATCTTTTAAAATTAGAACCTCTGTTACAGCGGAAGACGTTAACATCGAGCTAGTTCGGTTGTGATTGACCCTCTGAAGAACATCTTCTTATCAATTAATTTTAGTGGTCCGAAATCTGACTTCACTAAATAATCACTGATTAGTATTAGGAAAATGTTTTTAGTCTTTAGTGATGATTAGATTATATCAATTATGTAGATTTACAGTGTTTATCATGATTCACAATGCTTATCATCTTTAGGATTGGAGTTACGTCGCTTTATTTATACGAATCTAATTATGACTATGTGGTCATGATTTTTACCTGATTATGTTAAGGGTATAATTTGAAATATTCAGATGAGGTAACAAATTGAAGGGTTTTTCAAACTTACAGCCCAAGTCCTTAGCTGTTACAACGTTAGTTGAACATGACCAATCAATGAAGTAATCCCCGCGAAGGAGAGACATAAGAAGAACAATGAACAGAGAACTCTTCCCAGACCACCAACATAGGCGAATAGGACAGGGATCCTTTAATAAATAAATAATTTGTATGTTTAGTAATGTTATAATGCCTAGTATTATTAGTGTTGTTGGAGTTAAATTTTGAAATTAATAAAATTATTTGACACTGATTAACAAACTAAGTACATTTAGAACCTATGTTTTGTATAATGTGCAATTGAATTGCTGAAAAAGCAGAAACACAATCAAAGATAAAACTAAACTGATAGCTCAATATGTATACAAAAATAATTGTGTATTCATTACCAGGTAAATGTGAGACCTGTGCTACCAGGTCCATTTGATTGCATTATTTTCAAGATGCCAGAACGTGTTAATGTTGGTGACGTTTGTATTAAAGTTGAGAAGACAGTTGAGAAAATTGTTAGTGCACAGAGTAAACTGGAAACATTTGGTGAAAAAATGGAATCAATAATTAAAGCAACAGTCTTTAGAAATTAGTAAAAAAATTCAAGTTAAATGTAATGTTTACCGTTTAATAGAGTTAGTCAACAAACATTTATACAAATTACATTGAAGAACATAAATAAAAAGCTTATCTTTCAGAGTAGTAGATTGATATAATCATGGTCATATTTAAGAAGATAATATGTATTTTTAGCAAATATTCATGCAAGATGTGACTGACATAAGTTGCTCCGATTCAAAGGTATATAAAAGATCAATAATTACAATCAGTAGTTAAGTATTCTAAAACCATATTTTCTCTGTAGGCGGTGAAAATAATATTGAATGCTCCATCATTAATAGTTAGTCTGGTAACTAGCTTAGTAAAAGGTGCATGAATAAATCTACGAAAGTTTTGCAATTTATAAATTGCTACCTTAATTAGATCGCACTTAAATTTCAACTTGTCATTAACTTACTATAAATGCTAAACGGTACTTCTATAAACTGTTTGGTTTACGAAGGACAGAAATCAAATTTGTTCCAAAAATAAGTTGACTATGATACATGGTAGTACAACTTTAAGATAAAGTTTTCAGAATTCCTTCGGTATTATTGATATGACTGTTTGATTATAAATATTGTACACAGATTAGAATGAACTAAATTAATTCATCATGTAAATAATTTGATATCCTAATTTATCATTAAAATGAGATATTTAACTTTAGCTTACATTTCTCATTCTAATTAAACTACTCTATAATGTTATCCTGCTAAAAATCTAATAAACACTCTAACTAATAAAGAACATAATGGAAAAAAAAGCCCAAACTAATACTAATAGTTTTAATGTGTAACTATCCATTTCCATAACATTTCTCATATATCAGTTCATAGAGATTATATTTCATTAAAAAAACAAACAGTAAATCACTGCCTTTCATATAGATTTAATCAACTTGCATGTAATTGAAATTTCAAAATATATAACTATATTACATTATATATATATATATATATATATATATATATTATATATATATATATATATATATATATGGTAATTAGATAAATAAAAATGTATTATTATCAATATTCATAATAATAATAATAAAAATAACAATAAAGCACACAAATTCCCCATATGTTACTTTTATTAGGAAACAACTAATTTATTATAAATGTCAATCTTATTTCTAAATTTAATTAATGCACATTATTTAATAATTTTTCTTTTTAAAAAAAAGGAATTGTAATAGAAAGTAGAATAATGCAGTTGAAAGTTTTCGTTTTTGTTGTATATTGAGTTTGATGATGATGATGGTGTTTTACTTTTTGGATGATCTGGAAAGAAATCAATCTATGGAAGGTTTTTTTTCTTTTCTTGATGGAAATTCTATGTATGTTGTAGTTTATTTGAGATATTTTTTTGTAATGAAAAACTGCTGTTGAAGGCATCGTTCTAACATTTCTGATGTAGTACTGTGATTATTATTTTAAACTAACTATTGATAAGGTACTAATCTAATGCTATTTATATTAGATTGTAAACCTAACGATTCTTTTTTATTAATATTGGTGGTCTAACCTAGGTATTGAAGTGAACTAAGGTGAATTTGTGTAATAAGCGAAAATTGATTTAATGGAATAGTATAGTATTGTATTCACTCCAAAACGGAGTGAAACTTACGGCATCATAGTGATGTTATTATTATTTTTATTGGAAGACTAAATATGGTGCACGGATACGTGGAGAACCATGCAGATAACAACCAGAATAACTTCACTGGCTGATTGAACTAGGAGAAGGAGGAGGAACAGGATGCAACAACAACAACAACATAGCGTATAGAGATGAATCCAAATAAAGGAAACACTAACTGATTGAATGATAAAGTATCAAACGATTATATGATTATAATAATTGCAATGATAAACAAATCTGTTTGTCAATCAATTCGATCATATACCTTATTATTCTTCATATAATATAGAAATCATTTTCAATCACCATTTAATCATTGTTTGCTGCATTATCCACCTGTTCAGCGTATTCATTAAGTTTATCTTCAATCCTGATTTATTTTTGCATCAGTGCTCTACTTAATCCCTACTAGTTAGGTATTTATCTCATAAATATAAGCAATGTAATTTAACAATACTTCTCACTTGACCATTTTATTTCCAAGTTATGACTGTCATCTTTTAACTACTTCAAAATATTGTAATTACTGCTATATAAGTGACTATCATCTTACAGTCTAGAGAACACTAGTACAGTTCTATGTAGAATCGGTGCCTGTTAGTTTGGTTGATTACTTGTTTTTTTCCTTATAAACAGTTCGTATTTCACAAATTCATGTTTATTGAATTATGTTGTTCTGTTTCCATATTCTAAATCAATATAAAGCATCAGTTACTCCTTTCTAATATACTCAGGCTTAAAAGAAATACAATGAGGGATATTATATGTTTATAAATCTCTCTTGAGTGATGATTGGTCACAAATCAAATATTTGAAAATAACAAAAGGTAAAAATGTTCCAGTCATTTTGATTTGTTACTGTTGTCCTTTGGCACTTTACATGTCTGTCCACATAACGGTATCATTGTCAATCCTTTAGTCTAGTCTGTTATCTTTCCTTCCCTCTTCTTCATTAACCATTGCTTTGTTTATTACCAAAATAGGTACGTGATACAGACAAGAACTTCATTCAAATTAATTGATAACTGCAATACATTAACTCAAATAACGAATGAATTACGTGGTGGATTTTTAGAAATCTTTATTTTTCTCAATATGAACTGAATAGAAAGAGTGTTAACTTTCGAAGATAGTCTATAAAGAATTGATGCTCACAATTATGACGAACTTTTTATCAGTTAATTGTTTCTGTTGTCCTCTTTAACATTTTTATCAGCATTTAGCACTTACAAGTTGTTAACTGTTATTCTTATTCAACCCCTCAGTATGGTTGACCTGTAACTATCCAAGTGCTTATATTTTATTGTTTTCTACCTTAAAACTGTAGTAACTAAATCACTGTGTTCACAGCCATAACCTTATGTGATTATCAAACCAAAACTAAATGCCTCACCTGACCATATTGTTACATAATGGAATCATGGTACCGAGGCGTACAGCACCATTTTTCCGACTAAAATATGACGAATATGAAATGAATAAAGCCATAGCTGCGCCAGTATCGAATGCATTTTGACTAGCAGCAGCAACCCATAAACTAGGAGTAAACATACTACCTATAAAAATAAAAAATTAAACAAAATCATTATATAAATTTCATTTACTAATTTGACGTGACCTGTTTTATGAAAATAATAGTTACAATAACATAAGTATGCTATATATTTTATTGAGCTAATGTTCTAGAAAATGAACAATTATAATAAGGAAATTGTATTGAGAGATTGATAGATGAACGTTCTATTTTTTTTACTAAAGTTTATTATAAGACCGAGATTAAAATTTAAACCAGTTCACTGGGTTTATGTAGCTAACTGCTCATTTTTCTCCTTTCTTTAAATGACCAATTTATGAAAAATGTAGCCTGTATTTTATAAAAATGCACTGATTATTTTAATTGTTCTATAAATGTTTAAAGTACTCCACTTCTCTATACTCAACAACAACAAAAATGATTGAAAGTGATAATAAAACATAGTGTAAATATTTATTTATTTTTTATGCATTACCTCCTGATTATTTCAACATTTAAAGCAATTAGTCCGTTTAATAAATTTCGATAGAACAATATGAAGACAGAGTTGATTTGGAAAATGTGATGTAATTGCGCTATACATTTCATTTAATTGATCTTTATTAATTTTCATATAATAGGCCCTGACAAGTTATATGTGTGACTAGATTGTTCAAAATGTATAGAGCGAATACATCAAATTTTTCAGATCAACTCCATCTTCTCATTGTTCTAACGATATTTCAACATTGTTTTGAATTTTACTAATTTTTATTTTGTTTGTGTATTATTGTCAAATATGACACCTTGAATCAATGCAATTCTGTGCAATATTTCATCATAGCTTATATTCTAATTGAGTTCTTTTTTTTGAATGTAATGTATTGACTTTGACAATGTATTAGCCATATTAGTTTATCTATAAATATGTTTAAAAGAACATGTTGATAATTTTTGAAATACCTAACATTTTAACGTACAGTTTGTTTTTAGATTTAAGGGATACCATACTAAATAAACTAATGGTTTTACAGAAAATGTGTTTGATGTATATGGTAATATTGTGGTGCGTGCTATTTATATTGATATAAGTAGTATATGACGCGGGTCAGGAATGTAATGTCTGGCAGCAGAAGATGAGGAAGATCAGGAAAGGAGGAGCGGGAGTAGAAAACAATTAGTATCGAAATGCAAGAACAACGAAGTTCGAGAAAATTATTGAACATTTTGCAAATTAAGTATTATAACATGGTTATAAATAAATAATATATTTGTAATATCCCAATGAGTAGAAAATCAGATTTTCTGACGTTTCGTGACTTAGTGTAAGTCACTTCTTCAGAGAATAAATAACCAAATTAAAATATAATATAATATGGGTTTTTTATTTTACCAAGTAACTCTGTAATTTTGTGCTAAATATAATTCGATTGTTCTCACCCGTGTTCTGTTCACTACAATATAACGTCTATTCGATGATAAAAGATATCGATAAGAAATTAGCTATTTTTTTCTTTGAAAGATTGTTTTTTTCTTCTTGAAACAATCCTAATTTCGACAAGTATTTTGTTCATTCACCAAAATTCATGTGATTTATTTTGAATTGATATTGAATGTATTATTAGAAATGATTGTTATACTTTAAATTATAAAAGTTCATCGATAATGCCAAAAATATAATTTAACATGATTTTATGTTAAACAATCGCGTATAAATTTAACATTTTGCTATTAATAAGTTAAGTAAAAGGGATTGTGTTGAAAACCAAATAAAGTTGATGTTGTAAAATGAGTGAACTTCATCTTAAATGGTAAATCATATCATAGTCAATATAATCTCTAAAAGAATCTAATTACAACTTCGGGTATTTTTATATAGTGTACAGGAGTCCAATCCTAGATTAAAGCACTAGTTTAGTACCAAATTGTTTCAAATGATTTCTAAGTGACACTAGTCTATGATGAAAATCCCAAACGAAAAGTATAATGTATCAAACACTGATTTTTATAAAATATATTTTGAAACTAACCCCAGTATGGAGTAAATAAAAATGTAATACCAACTTCTGAATATTTTCTTGTTAATGACCATCCGAATGTGAAAACTAATATACCTAATAACATAGGTACTAATACCATATTGGCTTTTTCAATCCATTTTATACCACCAAATATACATCCACCAACAATAACAACAGCTAATGTATGGGTTAATGCAGGCCAGTAAGATTCCTGTATAAAAGAAAAAGTAGAAAGGGAAAAATAAAAAAAGTCTTTGTATGAATAAACAAAGAAATAATCATTATTAACTTTGTTGTTGACAATCTGTATATTAATAATCATGTAAATAAACTTTTCACTATTGAATACTTTTCACCCATCTTAACAACCAATTTATATTAAGATGAAATATTTAGCTATTTTAATAACATTCGTTTAACTGAAAAGTTAAATATTATATGGGGGAAAGTGTAGATCTATCATACCACATAAAACAGCGAAACAGTGTAGATTATGGATAAGTGTATCAATTGTCATTAATTGTTTCATAAATGACTTCAGTCATCCACTATATGGTACCCCGTGAAGTCAATGCATTCACAGTTGTAGACAACACTAATTTCACTGAAACAAAGGCACCAAGAAAGTAGCTTCATTAAACTTCAAAGTTTCTCGTTAGTATATATTCTAAGCATTTCCTGTGATTAAACACCCTGATAAGTTATCAACAGCAAATTAAACTGTTTCACAGTTAACATCATGAGCTGGTTTCAATTAAATGACCACTGTAAACGAAGAATCAATTAGCAGATGTTTCGTCCCAGGGTTGAACCCCTCGTCAGTAGGCGCCCAGGATCCCACGTTCTGATGACAAGCCGAGACCAGTGGTGTTCACTCATGTCGTTTGTGAACCAGCACATTGGGAGATAGTTGGGATATTAAAAATCGATTAAAGGTGAACATATAAAACATTTGATACGAGCTCCGTGGTCTAGAGATACAATTTATTAGTTTTCGATTCCTGATGGATGTCTAGTGCATCTTGGTTATCACTGCATTTTTCAACTAAATATCATTTCATGATGTTAGCTATGCAATTTTAAAAATCACAAATTCCCTTTGTAACTAATCCATTTGTTAAAATTCAATTCAGTACTGATGGTGCATAGGTTTACTGTGTACTGTATAATGAAAATCCCACTTTAAACTGGACATATCGCTTGGAAAATGTTACTAAGTAAGGTGGTAAGGTGAACAATTCAACTAAAAGACGAAGTGATTTGAAGTTGTTTAAGTCATATCAAGACCTTAAGACTGTGTTTCCAAGCCTGTCTGAGGTTCTGCGTACATGCAGCAGACTGGTCTATATTTGGTATAAAATACTTGACTGTTTATGTTTGTTAGTGGTTCTTAAGTGATTTTCAATTTGTGATGCAAACTAAGTCTAAACTTTTATAAATCAGTAGATTAACAGATGATTTCATTGTTTCTGAGTAAAATGCTTCGGTTTATATCAAAAATCACATATTATCATCATTGTTACCCAATATTACAAAACTACTGAATGAATGATTTTAAGAAGTTATGATGAAAATACTTACCTGTGCAAACTCATTGAAAATTTTAATACTTGTTTCTACATCTCTCGGTAAACTTGACAATGCACAAGATTTATAGAAATAATATAAACACCAACCAACAATGACTGAAAAGTAAGCACTAAAATTTAAAATGAAATAAAATACTTTAGTGAGCATGGGCTCAAATTATTACAAAAGAGTAATAAGCTACAACTAACATTTAACATGAAAGCTATATATATGAATAATAACAGAGCAATAGAATTACTGAATATTTGCCTCATTCATTATTAAGTTCATCATTACTGTCCAATCAAGTGTGCTATTATGGAAATTTAAACGCTGTGTAGATTACAGATAATTCTTTCGATTGTTTAGAGTAAATACAACTAGAGTAGTAGAAAACTAATTCCATTATGGATAACACAGTTTATTTGTTAACTATTTCTGAACATGAAAACTAGTCTGTTTTGTATTAGATTGATAAATATACATATCGATGATGCGAGTCGACTGAACGTTGATAATGTAACTTTGGGTGAACTCAGAATATTTAGCTGTAAAGTTAGTAAAATATCATTTACTTATGAGAAACAATTGTCCTACAGATCACAAGCTGTAGTTCAAATTTGTAACATCAGATTATTTTATATTTATAATTCGAATACACACATATACAATCCTCATTGGGATAGCTTTTGAAACTTCCAACTAAATGTAACTGAAAGTAAAATTGTGACATGAATAAAAGAAAATAAAACTACCTGTATCCAGTTTTCACTACCTGACTTTTGTTCATTTAAGATGCAGTAGTAGAGAAAGATTGATTTCTTTGAAATTCGACGACTTAGAGTATTTTTGTTGTGTAGAAATTTACTCAGAATTCTACTTACGTGATCATATAAGTTACAGCAACAATCCATCCTCCCAACCATACTAATTTATTGCCCAAAAATCTGTGAAATGCACCAAGTGGAGATGTTCGAGTAAATCGACCCAGTGTATATTCAACAATACTTAATGGCAGAGACCAAACAAATAATGACATTGCCCAAGCAATGAGAAATGTTAAACTTCCTAAAATGATTAGAAAACCAGTAATATATCCAGTGATCACTAGTGAAACATTTTAGTTGAGTAATATTTCAATGGTACCTTATAATCGGATTGTCAAATATATTTATTTTTTTCTAATGAATTTATTTACCAACTACATAAACAATAACTTCAATTTTCAACATAACCTTAATTGATAATTAGGTCATTGACCTCACTTTTTTTTTCGAGTTAGTTATCATGCTCATATGTATACTTCCATAATCTCAATAATTAATAGAAAAAAAAACCTAATACGAATGTTATGAAAAAAAACGTAAGCATGAATTCACTTTCATAAATGATTTGCTAACTTTAGTGTACCATTATCAATGAAATCAGTAAGTGTTTATTTCAAATTATTTGGTTTATACTAAAGTTAAAGTGAGCATTCCCATTGAATCAATTTTATCTAAACTGTTCTTTCTTGCCTGATATTAAATAGACATCATTCTGTATATGGAAAAACAAATGTTGGTGAACAAAATTTGTTTTATGCAACAGTAATACATTCTCTGAAAAAATGATCAAGTACAGTTTAAAACAATAAACTTCAGAAATAAAAATTCACCAGAATATAACCTTTAGATTGAACGATAGTCGTTAATGTATCACATAATGAGATCGAGCGTACTATATGCCAATATGTCATAAATTGATTTATTGACGCAGTCATTTACCTTATGGATAATCGAATTAATTCTGTTGGAACCAACAGTTGGTCAGATACTTTAGTTTTACTTCAGTAAAATGTGGGTGTAAAATAATACCATGTCTATATATTTTATATAGAACCTACTTACCCTACATAATTTTTAACTAGCTAACTTTTATCATGATAACAAAATATTTTAACGGGTTCTAGATATACTATGTGTTTAGTAAACTTCCTAAAATTAGACAAATCTATGGTGTCTAACACAAACAAGGTAAATCAAAGTACTGATTTTTATGATAAATTGTTTTAGTCTTCGATCGGTTATAGCCAATGGTACTCTCTGTGTAGGATTTTACAGTCAAATGATGTAATATTTAAAAAAACCTTGGTTATATGTATTTAAAAGTATCAACATAGAAAACTAAAAACAGTAACTGACCTTGAGAATAACTGGCTGTGGCAATAATACGTGGAAATCGCCATATATTTCCTGTTCCTATGACACAACCCAAACAAGAAAGCAACACTCCTATTGAAGAATTAAATGTGGATAATTCAGATCTTTGTGCATCTTTAGAATGTGTTTTCAAATCTTGTTCAGATGATGGTAACTGATTAAAATAGTAAATTTTAAATAGAATAAAATTTTTTAATGAGTACACTAAAATGCTGAACTTAATGTCACATCATTTAACATAAAATTTATTTAGTTAAAATGTTTTGTGAAATAGTACATTGATGGTTTAATGAAAATGAACATTGGAGTGAAATTTAAATCATAAGTATACTGAATTTTTATTACAAGTCCTTATGAAAATAATTTATTTATAAATTAAAATATTTATATTTACCTTATCAATAGATTCATGAATTTTCCCTGAACCACACTCCACAAGATCCATATCTGACTTAAATGTTGGATCATTTAAATCAACGATAAAGCTTTCCAAAATAAAACTCCATTTTTACATAGTATTCCACCCATTGGTGGGACGATTATACGGCTCTTTTTTTTAAAAAATTATGAACAGCTTGTGTTCACAAATCTGATTAAAGATGATTATATAGGTTTTAGACAATTAGTTGGTCACGATCTGCGGTTTATAAATGGACTTCTTATTTGTCAAAGAATTACAACCAGTCACATAAACACACATATGGCCATAACAAAATAATTCACCAATGAAATTCATTGTTGAAGGTCATAGTGGAAAATGTTGATCGTTAACAGACATGCGTAATATTTGAATGTCAGGAATTCAAAAAAAAACTTGTAACAGTAATATGTTTTTGTGTATTTTGTTAGACAGGAACAATCTCCCAGGCTAAGTGCTATAACAATTATCCAGATTAATTGATTTAATTGAATGGTTTAAATGGAGATTTAGAAATGTAAATAAGATTTAAATTATGAATATGAAAAGCGATTTAAAGTGACTTCTCTAAAATGTCCCTGAATATTCAACTTGTTAATACAAGTGTTCATAATAAATTGTTACTTACTTAAGTCTTAACAATGAATAATTTGACCAGACATCGAAAATATTAAACCAGTCAAAACTTAGACAATTTAGCTCACAGCATTTTATTTATCATTTAGAAATAAATTAAAAATATTATAGGGATGACTTACTTTTATCTCATGAAGATCTTAACCAAAATTAGTGTCGGTTTCTTCCTTAACAGTTCAAAACTTCTTCAACTTTGCGAGAATAAACGAGTAAGATGTTTTTTTTATGGAATGTTTATCGATAAACCTAATGTTAATATTCTTATATTAAACAAATTCACGGGACATCACGAACAGAATGGATAGCATAAGATAATTATATATATATATATGCTACGTATCGTGCTGTGATATGAAAACTAAGGCCCAATCAAGTCTAGGCCGATCTCTGCGTTGATGATAACGTAATAACTGGTTACATTTTTCAAAAATGCATTTAATGTTACACTTTACTATGGATATTAGATTGTAATCTGTAATAAATATACTATTTTCCTCAACCAGTTACATACAAAATATCATTGAGAATTATACTCGATTACAATGGGCTCATCTTTGAAAAATGCTTTCAACCTAAAAATCACCTTGGAAAGTTATTACTCGAGGCAACCTCCTCAGCACGCGTTATCATTGATAATTAGACGGTTAAAGCTGTATTCTGCAACTACTTGTATAATCAATAAACAATATTGTATTAGACTAATATGGTGAGAATGGGCCGTTTCCCATATCGCTGAATGAAATTTTTCAAAAGATGTGCTAGAGGAAAGAAAATTAGATTGAAAAGTGCCTGTCAGCGTTGATGTACTGATAAAAACGACAAAATTCTTGGATTGAGAGGAAAAAAATATTTGTAGTTATCGTCAATTTTGGAATATGTCATTTGATAACAAAATAAATTGTGCACACTTAACAAGGTATGTGTTTACTCTCTGGTCGTTCGAATATATATTCAAGGCTATTGTTACATACATTAGAAAAATTCTGAATTAAAACATACTAGTGGCATGAAAATACTGATTTGCAGCTTTGATTTTGGAATAAATAATAACTGCGTAATAAAAGACCTCATAATATTTTAATCGAGTTCTTCGAATATCCAAATAATCGAACTCAGAATACATTAATATACAATTTCATATAACATAGAAGGAAATGGCGAACAGCATAAATATTCGGTAAAAGAATACAACGATTAGTTGTAGTTATGTATTAACTATCTAAAATTTGATTAAATTATGAAACGTGATTCATTACTTGATTGAATGCAATATATAGGTCAGCATAAGTTTTGGTGTTAAGAAACCACGTTGGGTTTCTTGGTCATTTCGTTGATAAGTTTTAGAAAAGTTGACATTATTTGAAACCAGGTCATTGCAGAGCACTGTAGATAATTTCTAAGAATCATGTGTTCAATTACATATTAAATAATATTGATTTCAGATTCTTTCAAAATTGTAACCTCTTTACAAAGCATATTGAATAAAATTGTGATCTTTGAATGAATAGAACGATCTCAAAAATCTTGTAATTAATTGATTAATTATAGAAAACGAACCATATAGTTGCATAAGTGAACTGCGATTTCATTGAAAATCAGTTTGTCTTGAACAACGATTTGAAGGTTCAGACCACTAATATTATAGTGTAATCAATTTTGCAGGATAAGAAACATAAAGGCTTTGTTTGTTGTAATTTACGTGTTACACTTTCCAGAAAATAGTTATTTTATAAAGTAAAACGAGTTTTTATCAATAGTGTACTTCACCCATCACTTTCAACGTAATATTTTACGATGCAGGTTTATTATACAGACTAACTATAAGACATTGAAGTAACTATAAAATATCAGTATGCCTGAGGGCTAGATTGGTTCGGGATACTACTGTCAGTATGTATATGATTTCGGTTGCCATTAATCATAAAGCATATTTCCAGTTAATGAAGAAGACCATGAATAATGTGACATTTATTAATAGATTTAGACGCATTAATAGTGTATACGGCTAAAAAAAGTTAGCTAATACAACTAGAGACAATTCAATTTGGAACATAGATGCCTGTGGTCCATGTTAACGTTTACAATTGTGACAGATGTATTATTTATCGACAACCAGTTGTTCCACAATCCATGATCAGCTTACATGAAGTCGGGTTGGGCCTTTATTTCTGTATCTGCATCGTACAAAGCTATCTGTGTTTTAAGTACAAGAAAGAAGGAACAACACTTTATCATCCTTTTAGTCAGATAGTTAATTAATTAGGCCAGACAAGCTCTCAAACACTATGAGAAGTGATTTTCAAACAAGAGACCGTAGAAAGAGGCTTTTGTCTAAAATATGTTCTGCTATCATGGTGTTGTAGTGTTCATGTACTAACATGACCTAGCTAATGAATTATGGAGAATATAAATGTACTTCTTTACACAACTGGTAAATAAAGACTTTCTCTTAAATTCAATAATGTTGCTAGTCTAAATCCCAGAAATTTATATAGCTATGCCCATATACTTCGGAACAGCATAAAGAATAGAAACAAGATACTGATGAAACATTGCTGCTTGGAAAAATAATGACTGAAGGTCGAATAGTAGATGAATTACATCAAAAACCAATTGATCCATGCAATAAGTAGCAAGATACTTAGAAAAATTCAAATATGAAGTAGAATAAACAGACGACTGAAGTTTATCTATAATAGTTCATTATAGTATTTTTAAATGTTTGTTTTTGCTCAGATTTAATTTATCTGTGCACAATATTTTTAATTGCTATAATCTATAAATACTTTATTTAAAAAAAAGTTTCTGTTCAACTTATATGTAATCGAAAGAACCGATTTGAGCTTGTTTTCCTTTATTGAATAGCTCATACGGTAACAATAATATTTTTCCCTTTATTACTTTGGAATTGATTTTTCTAATAATAAAGCTTGATTGCAGCGGTTTCTTTCTGTTGATTTAATGAATAAGGAATGCGTTGAAGTCAATGTTTTATAGTGGATGAACTATTGGAGTACTGAATACATTAAGGAAGTTGATGAATGATTTTCTCATGTTTAAATCATTTTAGTCTTATGATTTGGTTAAATTCTTAGTTTTAGTTAAGCCAAAATTAAATTAAAGTCTATCCACATCCTACTGAATGATATAATTTCAGTAGGTATTCAACTATCTGATCAAGTTCTAGTTTATATTAACTATTTATTCTTATTATTAAAAAAAACATGACTTAAATGTATTCAATCTTAACAAGCTACTTGTACTTTCTTGTTGATGACATTCAAAGTGGAATTTCGACCATTTTCTGTTGAAATATATTCTATATGGAGAGGATGTTTCAATAATTTTGGATTCTTACTGTTTGTTTTATAAATTTTCATTCTTTAACAAATAAGATAAATATGTTAGTATTTGATCATTGGTTAAGAAAAGTAAAGTGGAGAGACATACAAACAGATAAGATAATATTGAATTTATCAATAAACATTCACTTATTTAAGCTATTACTTAGAACCGAAATAGAGAAATGTAAGTTACATTAATATACTGAAGAAAAAATTAAGGGCGGATAATGTTTGTCACAGTAGACTAGAAATCATTGTTAGAACAGACTAGATATCTGTCTGTAATTAGTTTATTTCATAAATTACAAGTTTTAACATACTACTTCTTGATGTTGAGGAGAAATTCATGAACCTACGATTAGATTCGAGGAATATGTTTGGAAAATCTTGTTTATTATATCATCTTTTTAAGTTATTTTTTTTCATTCCATACATTATACTAAGATTTACCAGTGAAATTATTAACTACATAGTTTAATTATGTAGTCATTTCACTGTAGTACAATTTTTTAAAATCTGTTAACTAGTATTTCTGACCTCATATCTTTCTTTATAGGACTTTATTTTCAACATAAAAATACTTATCATTATAAGCTAAGAGGTTTTTTGTATTGTGTCTTCTTCTTGTCTTTATGATTTACTGTCCTGTTTTGTATTCACCTTTATTGAATGAGGATTGTAGAAGTGTATTTATAATAACATTAACAATAACATTAGGGAATTCACGGTTGATGAAAAGCTTCAAAACAAAATGAATTCATTTCATTCTGTATAGTTTAACTCGTTTACATTTATTTTAGATTACATTCAAGAGAAATGACTAATCATGAATGCAGTGGTATTTAAAACAATATTATATTGAAAAATACAACGTTCTACGGGATTAAAACATTAAATCTCATAGTAATATTGGTTCTATTCACATGGATACGTTTTATAACGAGCCCTTGAATGAACGAAAACATATGACTAGTGATCCGAATGATTAAGTTTGAAGTCGATTCCAATGAGAATAAAGTAGTTAAATTTTCTTATTTTTTCAATTTA